GGCCACAGGTTGGACAAGCCTGATCTAAAATGTGAAGAATCTTTTGACTATGTTTTGAATTTCAAAAGGGGGGAAGAAACTAACCAGGATAGTGTTTCAACTTTTACATTGGTATAAACAATTTGAAGTCCACATAAGTAGCTTACGTCTTGTAGACAGGAATGATTCAGTTTATTATTTTTGCTAGTATATAGGATGAACAACTTTATTTCACTGAAAACATCCTGGATAAATTGTGTTCTTCCTGTACTGGAAACTTGAAAAAACTGATGTGTTTTAGTGTCTGAAATTGTATTTGGCCCACAGGAGATGGGAGAACAGATGACAGCAACCTTACAATATCCAAAGGCACTTAGGAAGCAGTTACTCTAATCCCTTGCTTAAATGCTAACATGTCCATTTAGAATACAAAAAAAATGTTACTCCATGAAGAAACTGCTGGATACATCGCACATCCCTCCCAGGGACATGACTGTGACCGCAGAATGCTATATATTTGAGTTCAGAGTAATTTACGCCCAGATTAAGGTGGTACAGAATTGATGCTTTAGTCTTTGAAAGAAATACAGTCCATTCTTATAGCATCTAGAGTAAGTTTTCCATCAAAAGAAAATGTCTGTGGTATAAATGTTCTTGTGGAAACAAATAATGTGTTGAATTCAGAGTCATTGCTATTTTCATCATTGTTCACAGTGGTGGCCACAGTATTTGGCAAATAATCTATTGTCACATCCTCTAGCTGATTAACAAGGTATTCAGAAAATACCTGACCTTGATTTGGTTCTCCAGGCACAACCTTTTTGTACAAAGATGGTGGCTGGTGCATATCAGTGTTACCCGCTCTTTTGATGCTCAAAGGATCGTAGTCTAGACTTTTCACAGTGGGATACTCTTCCTGCAAAATGGTGCCTGTCGGGTAGTTATGTTTTTCTCTTTTCCTTGTATTTCTGCAGTAAGGCACATCCTTCAAATCTTGATACTGCCTTTTTATGAAGACTTCCTCTATTTGTAGAGTTTCGGGTTCTTCAAAGGTGTTTGGACTGTCTAGGAACTGCGCAGGATGTAAGATTGCCTCATCCTTTATGGGGAGGAAAGAGAAAACATACATTTGATCTTCATGTACCGGAGTGGGATATTTTAGTCGTCCAAAGTTATAGTTTGTGCAGACTCCAAGCTATATTTATTTATTTCATTAATTTAATTTATATACAACTAGACATACACTATAGCTGTTCCGTCACCCAAAGAGTTGTAAACAGCATCCCCAAATTTCAGCTACTTCCATCTGTCTTCTTTACAAATAAAAATTGTTATGACAAAGTTTGTTCCCCAAATATATTGCTTTCTGCCGTAGGAGTACTTTGTCTCCAGTCATTATAACATATCCAAACAAAAATATCACGCTTTCTCTGAAAACCTTGATCATAGAACCAGTGGTAACCTACTCTGGTTGTTAGCAGATTGACTCCACTGGGGTACATATGGCAGCACTGGGATTCCCAGTAGCTTCAGGAAATACAAAGCATACATTTAGCCCTTCTGACCCGAAACACATTGCTCGCCCTGCTAATCCTCAGTACACTGGATTGCACTGGGATGAGAAAATTCTCCATAGCTCAAACAGTGCATTAAAAAAAACAACTGCTGCATGATAGTCAGTGATATATACCATCCCCTGAATAGTAGCACTTTTAGTATAAAAATCTTCATTTCACAACTTCTCTTCAGGAGCTGACTTACCAGAAAGAAAGAAAAAAACAACAGAATCTATGGAGAAGATAATGGTTGAATATTTTTGAAAAATCATGATTCAGAGCTTTAACAAATGGATACAAAACTACTAAACTAAAATTACATGCTAAACATGCAGCGGCAGGTTAAATCTCAGCTCAAAAACACACGTCTGGATTGTCTCTCATTTCAATACTTCATCAAAAGTGGCAACACAAAATATTCTTGAGTACCAAACCTGTTTCTCTTGAAACAGTCGGCATCATGTTTTGGCTTTTTATACATCTCCCATTGCACAAATAATCTGAACCAAAAGTCTCTGAACTTCTTAACCAGAAGAACATACCCACAAGGGGCATATCATTGTCCAGAAACTCCAATATAAAACTTGAGAGTGGCAGATTTTATTTCTTTAGATTGGAATAGTAAAACAGCATAGAGATTCCTGCTGGAGATTTTAAGCAAGACAACTTACCTCTTTAGATTTGACTTCTTTAGCCCATGAAGAATTGGCTGGATCTGGAATGCCTTTACCCTGCAACCCATATGGCAGGTCACGAAAGAGTGAAAGAAGTCTAAAAGGAAATGGTACAAATCCCTCATGTTTCAAACTTCAGAGTTAATGTTCCCAAATACTGAATTGTGCAGGACCACTTCTGATGAATTAAAGTAGACTGCTACACCAGGTATTCAGCTATATATACAGTGTTGACTTGTTAGAGGCTTCACACATGACGTTCTTCCTGAACCTTAGTAGACTCTGCAGGAACAAGTAGCTACACCTAACCACGCTTTAATGGTATGTACCACAAAAGGGCAAGATGGTAGCCTTCTATTTCTGTTAGTGTTACTATAATGGGGCACTCTTTGGATTTAGGTATGTTTTGTACTTTTAATCCCCCAAAATGGCCTGCGATTCCCAGAATTCTCTAAGAAATCACTAGGCAAGATTCTGGAAGTTGCAGTCCAAAAACAAACAAACAAACAAACAAAAACACACCACAAATCTCTACACATCTAGATTTACCCTCACTCCTCCAACACGCAGGCTTTTGAGTTATTTATCTCTTCCACTGCTGCTGCCACCATCGGTTGCCTTCTCCAGCCTTTGCCTTCTCTTCATGAGATGGTGAGGGTGGTTGACCAAGCAGTGGGGCCAGGCCCTCCTTGGGGGTGGAGGGTGCTGAGAGTCATAGCCTTGCTGTTCATAAGACTATAGACTATAGAGGGCACCATCCAAAAACTACACCTTAAGGGAAGCACTATGGCAGCTTTCTTTTAAAAAAAACAACAGCAGCAGAAGGCACAGGCCGTAGAAAGCGGCCAATGTTGGGAGCAGCAGCCCTAGAAATAAGTAACTAGAAAGCTCTTCTCTAGAGGAGCTAAACCTGGAAGGATGTGGATTTTTTTTTTTTTTGGTCTTCAACCTCCAGAATTCTGGATGTAAAATTATTGAGTTGCAGTCCAAAAACATAAGAGAAAACACTCCTATTTGTATTTGAAAAATGAGGGTGAAAATAGCAAAGATGCAGATGAATTCAGCTCTATATAGTTTCATTTGGGGAATGTTATTTTGTATCAATAACGTTCCCAGGGTCCCTGGTTATGCCTTCTCTACTATCTCCTCTCCCATTGTTTCTCCATCTGCTTCCTCCCCTTTTCCCTTCCTTAACCGAAGTTTCTCTGGCTATTGCAGAATATCTGTAGGAAGAAAGAAACATTTATATACACCAATGTGCGTAAATCCCAACATGCAGCATTAACATTCACTGTGTTTCACAAGGAACAGTGTATGTATATTTCTGAAATACATCCATGGCATCCTAACCCTAACCCTGTTTTGCCATGGATGTATTTCATGGCAAAACAGTTGATAAAACTATTTAATCAAAATCAAATACAAGTCAATGATTATGGCACTTGCAGTTAGCAGCCAGCTGGAATGCTCTGGGACAGGAACTATTAAAATTAAGCCCCCCATTCAAAAAATAAAATAAAATTCTGGGACAAACAGATCAAAGGTATCTGTCATTGTCACCAGTGCTGCTTTTGCAACCACCATGGTATTGGGGCTGCGGACCTCCCTTTTCATCCTCCACTCCCCTATACCCAGGGGGACACTGCTAACTTCCTCCTCCATGCAAACACTAAAGTGCTGTTTCTTCAGGCTTAAGCAAATATCTGTAATACACTGCCCTCTACGCTGGGACTTCTGTCATCTCTTGATGCTTTAAGCTACCAAATGATAGAGTGAGAAATACTGTTGACTACCATTTGGCTAGCTCTGTTCTGGTTTATTAAGAGACTTCCAAAATGTTTCTCAGCAAGGAAGACAGCCATTTGAACCTACTAAGCTATTTGTAAAATGATTAAAATAGCCAAACTGGTTTTCTTGTTCTGCAATATCCATGACTTTCTTTTAGAAACAGGAATATCTATTATTTTAATAGATTACTAACAAAAACTTGTTCTATATGGATTGTTTTAATTTGTTTTCTCTAAGGACTATCATATTCTATTACCTGTGTTTATTTTCATATAATTAAAACCCGTCATCATTTCACACACAAAAAAAATTCACTTACTTTCTCCTAGCAGATGGTATGCAGCAGACGCAAACTAAAAGAGCCATAATGCAAATGGACAGGATAGGACCCCAGTCAGGTGCATCTGTTGGTGCAATCAAGTTTGTTATGGTAATCAGACATATTTTTAATAAATATGATGACTTTTAGAGTGCAAGCACGTAGAATATTTCTCTAACCTATTCTTTAAACAAACATTTAGCAGGATGCTAAGAACTTCTTGGATCAAGAGGGTGGTCAGCAAAGAAGGACTGAAATGAAGGAATAAACATGAAGAAATTGTAAAATGTAAGGTGCAGAAAGATGTAATGCTTCATCCAAAAGTGTCCAGAAACAAAAAATACATATTTATCATGGCTGACCATTCAAAAGAAAATAAAAGGGGAGAGGGAGTGCAGGAAGAAGCAGCTGGTTGAAGAAGGTGGGAGACCATTTTTGATGCAGCACAAAAATCACACCCCAAGGCAAAAGTGCTATACTGAGACCCAGTCTCCAGTAGGAGAGGGTAGGAACAAAGAGAGGGGGTCCCGATGAGATTTTCTAATTGGAGTGGCAAAGGACAATTTGCGATAATGAGAAGGGGTGATATTTGCTTTGCCTCGGCCTGGCTGTACCTGGCTCCCCTCATTTTTCTACCACTGTTCCCCAAACCTATCTTCCATACCAGTATTTCAAAAAGGGCCTTTAGGATTTGCACAATAACTGAACATTTCTACTACAGTACTCAAAAGCAGGCTCCAACCAGGGTTAGGAAGCAGAGTGTCCACCTCAGTAGGTTTGGCTTCAGCAAGGTCAACTTGATAAAGTACCTCTGAGTTCACTGCTTTCCAGTTATATTAACAAAAGAATCACTACCATTTTAAGCATAGCTAGAGTGCTTAAAACAGGTGATGAGTTTTGGTATGGAGCTAGATGTCTAGCTAGGAAGAAAATACAACGTTCATATGCTGGAAAATGTTCAAAAACAATGCACTGACGCCACCTACAGAAAGAATTCTATATCCATACAGAAGGAATATAGACACTGATCATTATCTCATGACAGACCTTGCTCTAATGCTAGGTTGTATTGCCTGTATACTATTTGGATCCTACGTAGAAGGCACTTTCCCTCTCCCTTGGTTCCTGTGGAATCTTGCATATTCACCCATCCGCACCAGGCAATGTTTTTTAGGTTAAGAACATTGTTTCTCTAATGAACCTAATAAGGATGCCATGTCAATAGTGAGCACAGCAAAGCCCCCCCCCAAAAAAAACCCAAACACCCTCAAGCCTTCCCTTTTCTCCTTTCTCTTTCCCACACCACAGATGTAGGGTGGTCTAGTACTGTTGCTGCTGGTTGATTAGTCCCATAATACACAAGACAATGCAACTGTACTGCATTTCTTTTTTGTAGCAACTCTGGACCCTACAATGTGCTAACCATTATATATATCTGCAACCCAAATGTTCATGTGCACTACAATGTGTTGCCCATGTTGACATGGTGAGACTAAATATCCATCAATCTGGAAGGAGATGGTTTTCAGTATGAGTAGCGGTTGGCCTGCAGGTCACTGGAATGACATACCATTGGAACAGCACTGATCCCCTTAATCTGCAAGAGAGGTGTGAATGGGCGTCAACATGCAGAGTTCAGGCACTGATCGTTGTAACCCTATGGTAGAATAGAGTTTGGAAGAATTGGCAAAGAGGCCATAAATAAAGCGGCAGAGGAAGAAGACACTCAAGAAGGCTGAGTTCACGCTGCAGTTAAGAAGCATTGGGCACTGGAAGTAAGAATGAGAACATAGGAAGAAATAAATAGAGCTGAGTGAGGGAGACACCAGATGCAGGCCTGTCACTTGATCACAGAACAAAATATGCCAGGCTGGAATTCCAAAGAGGAGAAAATGGAGCAAAAAGAGATCACATCCTAGTTTTAGTTGCCAGTTCTTGCTGGTTTTACTGTGGAACGGAAAACTTGCACTTGACCTCAGCTAGTGACAGCAGACACCTGCTTCTGGGGAGGAAAGCGATGACAAACCTAGACAGCATCTTAAAAAGCAGAGATGTCACCTTGCCGACAAAAGTCCGAATAGTCAAAGCTATGGTTTTTCCTGTAGTGATGTACAGAAGTGAGAGCTGGACCACAAAGAAGGCTGACCGCCGAAGAATTGATGCTTTTGAATTGTGGTGCTGGAGGAGACTCTTGAGAGTCCCTTGGACTGCAAGGAGAACAACCCTATCCATTTTGAAGGAAATCACCCCTGAGTGCTCACTGGAAGGACAGATCCTGAAGCTGAGGCTCCAGTACTTTGGCCATCTCATGAGAAGAGAAAACTCCCTGAAAAAGATCCTGATGTTGGGAAAGTGTGAAGGAAAAAGGAGAAGGGGACGACAGAGGACGAGATGGTTGGACAGTGTCACTGAAGTGACCAACATGACTTTAACCCAACTCCGGGAGGCAGTGGAAGACAGGAGGGCCTGGAGTGCTCTGGTCCATGGGGTCACGAAGAGTCGGATACAACTTAACGACTAAACAACAAAGCTAAAAATACTACATTGGTCTGGGTGTGGGGAGCATCATATAGAGATGGAAAAATCAAATGGTAAGCCCTGCACCAATATGGCAGAAGAAAGCATACTATAGACCAGTGATTCCCTACCTTGTGTCCCCAGATATTCTTGGATTGAAATTCTCAGAAGCCTTCCTCGCTCATTGTGCTGACGAGGATTTCTGGGACTTGCAGTCCAAGAACATCTAGGGACCCAAAGTTTGGAAACACTGATAATAAACGCTGCTCATTTTGCTCACACAGCCTCCCTTCCCACCCACTCGTCCCAACCAAAGCTGGGAGATATGATATATGTGATGTTCAGTTTATTCTTTGGAATACTGTAATTATTGGGTTTCTGTTTTATTTATAGCTGTCCACTGTTAAAATATCTTTTCATAGCCTCAAATTTGCAAGAGTCAGTTTTTGTACCTCTTGTTTCCCAACTATGCACCCCAATTATCTGTACTCCTTAATTAGACTTTGAAATGGTGTTTCTGGAACACCGCCCATCTAAAGATAATATTTCAGTAGACACAAACTAATGCAATTACTTTGTATATAAATTATTTCTTCATTCCCATTAGGGCTCTCTCCGGCCATTGTGGAAGCTGTCATCCATACAGCATATTCAGCACCAGTCTGTATGTTTTTTATTGGAAATGGCTGTGAGGTTGTTGTAGTGATATCTATGGGGAAACATGGAAAAGAAGTAAGAGTCAACCATTTCATGCTGCACGAGGCAAATATGAGCGTAAGCCATTAATCCTATATCGCACACCCAAACCAAACTTCTAGCTTCTAAGCTCATGATATGCTGTGATCTGGAACTTCAGTGAGCATTTCTGAATTGCCACATCTTCTACTGACCATGTAAGGTTAGGATCTGTTCTTTATTTTTCATATTCTAAATTTCATTTACAAGTGAAGTAAATCAAAAAGGTTTTATGATAAAATAAACATGCAATTCAAACAAGACGAGCTAAAATAGCAGAAAATAATAATTCAGACCTTGCTCAACCTGCCTGGCCTGTGATGCAGTGCAATTTCCATCACAGCACAGAAACACAAGGATGTTGCTCAGTTGCCATGGCAAGGAAGCAATGCTTCCTGTCATTCTGGACTGTGCTACAATGGTCAATGAAACTGTCCTTCTGATCAGCAAGGGGCCATCCAGAAATCACTCTGGCAACACAGAGATGTTCCTTTTCACATGCAAGGAGCAACTGCCTTAATCCTGTCTCATATTGAGAAGTGAGGGTTTTCTTTTTTATAAGAACTAGCCGGAATTCTCCTGGATGTACACACAAAAGCAATTGTTGAATTTGCTACAGCTAATCAACAAGGTATTGGTTACATGCCTGACTTCACACCACTGTACCTAACTGGAACATACCTGACATGTTATCAATTAGCTGAAGCCATTTCCATTATTCCTTGTGTGTGTGTGTACATGTACACAGTCAGCCTGATTTTGGCCACAGAAATCTTCCTGAAAAAGAGGACTTCATTTTGCCTCTGTCTGAGACACCAAACCATGACATGACTTACTTAGACAGCTTAAGCTTTCAGATTTTTCAGGAGTACCTACTGTAGATGTCAGGGGGCATTGCAGCAGCTTGTTTTTGTAAGTATATCTTGTAGCTAACAATGCAGCCCATTTGTTCATCAGGTGGAATCTCCCTCCAGGAGACCAAAATCCTCCCATCTTTTACTGTTGTATTAATGTGAGGTCCTGTTAACGGGGCTGCAAAATACAAAAATATTCCTGAGGAAATTGAACCAGCTTATTATGTTCCCCCTCAGACTGATAATCCATCATCCTTACCTTTTGCTGACACATTTCCTGTAGTGGAAGATGCTTTCCCTGCTCTGCTTTGATACAGTGCAAACACACTGATTTGATAGCACACATTAGGCTTTAGATTTTCTGGAAAGAAAAATGCCCACCGTTAAATCTTTGGGACATATCACTACCATCACATCTCTTTCCCCCATGCTATAACCTGCATCTTTTTACACAGATGCTTTGGCCCTCACAGAAGCCTTTTCAGAGGATGAGGAAGTTTGTTTGCAACAGGGAATTGCTATTGCGCGTTTTTCTGGACCAACTTTATAGAGTGGGCATAAATATAAAAACGTGTTAAAGATCTCAAAGAGCCAAGACGGTGCACTTCTTAGAGTGCTGAACTTTGGCTCAGATCTGAACTTAAATTGCCAGTTGGTTATGAAACATACTGAGTGACCTTGGGCCAGCCACACCCTCTTAGCCTGGATAAAGTGCATGAAAGAAAGCTGTGCATTCCATCTTGACTTCACTGGAGGAGAAGTGGGACAAAAA